CAGTGTCTGTCCTCTTGGGGTTATATTCAGAAAGTGGTCTCCTGTGCCCATGAATTGAAGGCTACTTCCCACTTCCTCTTCTATTAGGTTCAGTGTGGTAGGATTTATATGGAGGACTTTAATACATTTGGACTTAAGTTTTGTGCATGATGATAGATATGGATCAATTTTCATGCTTCTACATGTTGATATCCTGTTATGCCAGAACCATTTGTTGAAGATGCTTTCTTTTTTCCATTGTATATTTTTAACTTCTTTGTCAAAAAATCAGGTGTTCATTGGTGTGTGGATTAACATCCAGGACTTCAATTCAATTCCATTTGTCAACCTCTCTGTTTTTAATGCCAACACCAAGCTGTTTTCATTCCTGTAGTTCTGTAATAGAGCTTGATGTCAGGGATGGTGATGCTTCCACATGTTACATTATTGTATGGGATTGTTTTGGCTATTCTGGGTTTTTTATTTTTCCATATAAAGTTGGTTATTGTTCTTTCAAAGTCTGTGAAAAAATTGTGTTGAGATTTGATGGGGATTGCATTGACTCTATAGATGGCTTTTTGAAGGATTGCCATTTTTATTATGTTGATCCCACATATCCAAGAGAATGGGAGATCTTTCCATTTTCTGGTATCTTCTTCAATTTCTTTCTTTTACTTTTTTTAAAAATATTTATTTTTTTTATTTATTTATTATGTATACAATATTCTGTCTGTATGCCTGAAGGCCAGAAGAGGGTACCAGACCTCTTTACAGATGGTTGTGAGCCACCATGTGGTTGCTGGGAATTGAACTCAGGACCTTTGGAAGAGCAGGCAATGCTCTTAACCACTGAGCCATCTCTCCAGCCCCTTCAATTTCTTTCTTCAAATACTTAATGTTTTTCTCAAAAAGCTCTTTCACTTCTTTGGTTAGGGTTGCCTCCTATCTGTATACACACATACTCACACATATATATGTGTGTATGTGTGTGTGTGTGTGTGTGTGTGTATAGGGTTAATATAGTTTAAGTCATTTGTGGCTATTGTAAAGTAAAGGGTGATGATTCTCTGATTTCTTTCTCAGCTTTTTTATCATTTGTATATAGGAGGGCTACTTATTTTTCTTAGTTGAGCTTGTATCCTACCACATTACTGATGGTATTTCTCAGTGGTAGAAGTCCCCTAGCAGAGTTATTGGGGTCACATATGTATACTATCATATCGCCTGAAAATAATTAAAGTTTCACTTCCTCATTTCCAATTTGTAGCCCCTTGTTCTCCTTTTGTTTTCTTATTGCTATAGCCAGAACTTCAAAATCTATATTGAATAGATATGGAGAGAATGAGCAGTCTCATCTTGTTCCTGATTTTAGTGGGATCGCTTGGAATTTCTCTCCATTTAATTTGATGTTGGCTGTCAGCTTACTGTATATTGCTTTTATTATGTTAGATGTTTCTTGTATCCCTGATCTCTCCAAGACCTTTATCATAAGAGGGTGTTGAATTTTGTCAAGTGCTTTTTCAGCATCTAAAGAGATGATTTTTTTATTTCTGTTTATTCATATGATTAATTACATTGATAGATTTTCTATGTTGAACCATCCCTGCATCTCTGGAATGAAGCTGATTTGATCACAGTGGATGACTTTTTGATGTGTCCTTGCATTTGGCTTGTTATTATTTTATTGAGTATTTTTGCATCTATATTTATGAGTGAGATTGGCCTGTAATTTTCTTTCTTGATTGAGTCTTTGTATGGTATTGATATCAGGGTAACTGTAGCCCCATAAAATGAGTTTGGCAATGTTCTTTCTGTTTCTATTATGTGGAACACTTTGAGGAGGATAGGGTTCAGCTCTTCTTTGAAGTTCTGCTAGAATTATACACTGAAACCATTTGGCCCTGGGATTTTTTTGGTTGAAGGGCTTTTGATAACAGCTTCTATTTCCTTGCAGGTTATAGGTCTATTAAAATTGTACACCTGGTCTTCATTTAATTTTGGTATATGGTACTTATCCATGAAATTGTCCATTTCTTTTAAATTTTTCAATTTTGTAGAGTACATGTTTGTATACTATGACCTAATGATTCTCTGAATTTCCTCAATATCTGTTATTATATCCACCTTTTTATTTCTTATTTTGTTAATTTGGATGTTCTCTTTCTATCTTTTAGTTATTTTAGATAAGGGTATGTCTATCTTGTTGATTTTCCCAAAAAACAGCTCTTTGTTTTATTGATTATTTGTATTGCTTTTGTCTCTATTTTGTTGATTTCAGCCCTCAGTTTGATTATTTCCTATCTTCAACTCCTTGGATGAGTCTGCCTTTTTGTTCTAGAGCTTTCAATTGTGTTGTTAAGTCAGTACTGTGAGCTTTCTCCATTTTATTTATGTAGGCACTTAATTCGATGAACTTTTCTTTTGGCACTGCTTTCAGAGTGTACCATAGCTTTGGGTATGTTGAACCTTAATTTTCATTGAATTCTAGGAAGTCTTTTGTAGGAGAAGTATTGCTTGTTAGTTCCCAGCTGCCCGTCTACAATAGACCCAAAATAATCTTACAGAAATTGTATTAATTAAATCATTGCTTGGCCCATTAGCTTTAGCTTCTTATTTGCTAACTCTTATATTATTTTAACCCATTTGTATTATTCTGTATATTGTCACGTGGCTGTGGCTTACTAGATAAAGTTCCTAGCTCTGTCTCTGGTGGCTCCATGGCTTCTCCCTGATTCCACCTCCTTTCTCCCAACATTCAGCTTAGCCTACCTAAGTTCTGCCTTGCTATAGGTCGAAAGCAGTTTTTTTATTAATCAATGGTACAGAGAGAAATCCCACAATCAGTCTTTAATTTCTTTCTTTATTTCTTCCTTAAACCAGGGGTGGTTCAATAGAGCACTGTTTAATTTACATGCGTTTGTGGGTTTTCTGAAATTAGTGTTGCTGTTGAATTCTAATTTTAAACCATGGTGATCCGATAGGATACAGGGGTTTACTCCACTTTTTTGGTATCTGTTGAGATTTGCTTTATTACCGAGTATGTGATCTATATTATAGAAGGATCCATGAGGTGCTGAGAAGGTATATTCTTTAGCACTTAGGTAGAATGTTCTGTAGATATCTGTTAATTCCATTTGAATCATGATATCTGTTAGTTCTCTGATTCTCTAATAGGTTTCTATCTGGTTGACCTGTCCATCCAGGCAAGTAGGGTATTGAAGTCTCCTACTATTAGTGTGTGGGGTTTGATGTGCCATTTAAGCTTTATTAATGTTTGTTTTACATTAGAGGGTGCTCTTGTATTTGGGACATACATTCAGGATTGAGACTTCATCTTGATGGATTGTTCCTGTTATGAGCATAAAGTGTCCTTCTCCCTATCTTTTGATTGATTTTAGTTTGACGTCTATTTTGTTACATATTAGGATAGCTGTACCCGCTTCTTTATTAGTCCATTTAATTGGAAAATCTTTTCGCCCAGCCTTTACTCTGAGGTAATGTCTGTCTTTGAGGTTGAGGT